CTTCTAATACATCTGCTTTATACTAATATTAATTGAGTCCCAAGGGTGTTTCCTGGTTGAGAATGGTTTTGAGTAAAATTTTCCAACCTGCAGTAGGTGGGAGCCTTGTGAAGGCTGCTCAGATGCTTTGGAGGCTCTGGAGGAATTCCATTGAGCCCTGTTGTCCCAGCAAAATGCTCCAGCATTGGCACTAACTTACCTCTCATGAAAATGCTGCCCTGCAGTTGTTCCTACACCTGGGCAGTGGGAAAAGGTGGAATAATGAGCTCTTTCTCTGTTATATTGAGCTTCCAAGCTGGTTTGTAGGGACATGGCAAAGAGGCCAGAATCAATATTGCTTCTATATATTTAGTTGTGTAGTAGAGCACAGACATATCTTTATTTTAATTCATTTTGCTACTTAATTGCATGGCTTCAACTTCAGAGAAACGTAGCCTTGCTGTAGACCTTTTTTTAACATTTATTTTCAGTCAGTGTTAAAGACGGCCCGTGTTCGAGAAACCACACGTTCACTGCAAATAGACCTTGCTTTACAAAGAAAGAGATAAAATAAGTACCCCAAACAATGGTTTTTAAATTGAGTGGAACTCCAGGACAGCCAACAGCCTGTCTGGCTGCCACAGCACTGCTCAGACTCCACTTGGGCCAATACAGACCCTCCACCTGGGCAGGTCTCGTCTCTGGTCGCTCTGTCCAGGTGCCATGGAGATCTCCCACCTTTCAGCATTAGGACTATACAGCACCACTAAAACTCCTCACTCAGAGATTAGGATACGGTGTTTTCCTTGTGTCAGCAGCAATTCCAACATATCCACACTCACAGCTGGTTTTCAAGTGTGTCAGTGTTCATCTGCACGTTTGCCCTTGGCACTGAAATGCCCCAGGGGTGAGGGACCTGCTGTGCAGGAGTAAATCCAGGCACAGACACACACATAAAGCTGTTTTATTTGATCATCTCCAGTGCTCTGCACTACTCCTCTACATCCAGTTTCCTCCAGCAGGACCAAAAGCCATCAGATGACAAATGGGGGCTGTAGTGGCACAGGTCAGGATCATGCACTGTAGAAAAGTATTACATGTATAAGTAGAACATATTCAGGTATTTCACTGAACTGGATGCTGGGTCAGGAACGTATTTAGGCTAATTTTGTTGTTTTACCCTCCTCTCCTCTTTGTGTTTTCCCCCCACATCAGATACCAGCAAAAAAACCACCCCAAACAGCCTCCAATCCCTCTTCAGAAATGAACTTTTCTTAGACCATTCCTGATCACTTTTTTCCTTTGCAGCCAAGCAGAACCACGAGACAGAAGGGAAATGGGGGGGAGGGAGAAATAAAAAAAAAGGAAAAGAGCCTGTTAAAAATGATTCAGCTGGCTCTTCCCTTCCCCCCAAACTGTGAAGATTAAAATAGTGATCACTTCCATCAAACGACTCAGATCACAGCTCTCACTAAACAGACTATTCAAGCCACTTCCCCATTATTCTCATCATCAGTTATATAACAGGGACTGATTTTATCATTATTCTTTGTATGCATTCTCCTTAGTGCTTCAGGGTAGGAAAGAGGGGTTTTTTCCCCTTCCCATTCCTAAACAGCAACAGATAAATAACTTTTAGCTCAGTGTCTAAGGCAATTTCTTTTCTCAAAGGCCTTTTCTGTCTGGCCAGCAAGAGCACAAAAAATATATTGTTGTGGCATGTGCCAGCCAGTAAATTCTGTCACTGGGGATCTTCACTTATTTACACTGAGTCAGCTGGTCAATGTTGTCTTTAGAATACAAAGAGCTTGAATATTTTTAGAGAAATATTTTAGAATACAAAGAGCTCTTACAATATGAAGGGCAATGAATTGTTAAGGTAGAACGTGTTTCCAACTCAGAACCCTTTCTCAAAGGAGCAGAACGTTTATGTGTTTCTGTGCTTCAGCCCATATTTCATGTTAATGGTTTGGCTTCCTTGTTGTGGTTATGAACAAACAGCTTCTTGTATTTCTCTCTCTGTTTGTAAAGATACTGTATGTGCAGATGTGTTGCTTTGGAGTCTTAAAAAAAAAAAAAAAAGAGAGAATTGAGAGTTAATTGTGACATTCTTGGGGCGTTTAAAACTGTTTCACTGCATTCATCTTTCTAGGAATATTATTTAGATATAATATGAAAGGGGAAATACAGCGGAATGCCATTTGCTCCAAAACAGTAATTTGTTTTTTAAAAATGCCTCATATCAGAAAGAGGATTGATCCAGCAAAGTGAACGGAGCCAATCGCTAGTACTGGATGTGTTGACACCCCGAGAATTGTCATTTCCCAAACCCTTTCTCCATTTTCTCAGTAGTAACACCGAGGTTTCAATACTTACTCTGCCATGACCTGGCCAAAGTAATTTAATTAACACTCAGAAAATGTTCAGACACTACTAGAAAATGATGTAACACTAAACAAATACAAAATGTTGCATTAAGAAAAAATAAAAAAAATAAAAAAGGAATTTTTTCCTTTCTCTGTGCTTCAAAGTTACTTTTTCCTTTTTATGTAGAGACAAAAGAGCTTGTGAAAATTTCAAAGCTACCTCAGTGCCTTTTCCAAAAACACTTCTACTCCCAGGCTCTTTTGAACAGTACTTGCAGGCATTTGCCATGTGCATCCTAAACTCTTCATAGCACACAGGATTCCACAGAACAGAGCAGGTTTCTGCACTGGGTGAACCCAGGGGAACAGGGAGACCCAGCTCTACCAACAGCATTTACATCACTCAGGAGTGAAAGAAAGGAAAATAGAGAGGGTTTTTTCCCTTAGTTTTACAATAAAATAGGGATAAAATATAAATAAAACAGATAAAAAATTAAAGAGATCACAGATAACAATATATCTGTTATTTTCAGAAAGTAATTTCTTTCTTTTTTGTCCTTACCGCACGTGGCTGAAAGGTTTTCCTGCACAGTCAACCTTTGGAAGCTACAAAGTTCACTGCAAAGTGGATTTATGCTCAAGGCTGTGGGTGTAGATCCTCAGCACATTCTGCAGCAGGGACACACACAGAGGGAGGAATTCTGCCCTCACCAGAACCAATAGGGCTGGATCATGGAAGTGAACAGGATCTAAAAAGCAGCTCCAACCTTTACAGTGCAGCTCAATGCAGGTTTTAGTCCTTTAAAAAAAAATCAAACCTCTAATCTTAAATACCTTTTGAAATGTGAAGTGTCTCCTGAGCTGTTGCTGCTGAACAGGAAAACTGCTGTAAAAGTAACATGGGAAGGCAGAGGGGGGAAAAAAAGGAATGAGGAGAGAGAAGAGAAATGGGATTTTCCAGACCTGGCTCATCCCTCTCTTCTGGGAGCAGCTCCTCCTGACCTAACTCTGGGGCAACACAATAAAAAGCAGTGCAAGATCTGCAGAGTAGCTCAAGTTATGATCTAAACCCCATAGCTTGTTTTTATTTAAACATTTACATGGGAGCTGAGAGCCCTGCCCATCCCCAGGGCCACCTCTGAGTGCTCAGCACTGTGTGACAATGACAGGAGCTGCTTTCCAGGGACTCCAATGAAATTACTCCTTAAACTGGCAAAATAATGATTTTAGAAGCTGATGGCAAAAATTTAGGATATTTCCATCAAAATGTAGCTCCTTAATTGAATAACTTCCAAGCCTCTCTAGCTAAAGTTTAAGTAACTGTTAAGGACTGAAGCAACCACAAATATTTTGCCAAGGGGAAATCACCACTATATTAAAGCAGTTTAGGCTACTGCTGAATGCTGAAGGCAGCTTTTAAAGATCACATGTTTACAAATTAAAGAAGTTAGATACATTTGAACATTCTGAAAGTATACTGACACCTTTAATGCCATTTTTCTTCTGTCCGTGTAGCAGCAAGTCTTTTACATTACATATATTTCAATGGGTGAGATTTCAGATTTTACCAACCTTATACAAAATATTGATGTTCCCCTCTGAAATAGACTCTTATGACAAATAACCTCTTTATAACATCATGCATACTGTGTGCTGCAATCCCAGGGGGTTCAGATATACATATATATATATATTTATTTATACAGACATTTTGGGGGTACAGCAGTAACACATTTTGATTGGTCATAATAACTTTTTTATATATATCATTCATTGACATGTATTTCCACTTCCTCCCAAACTACAGTGCTCAATATTGTGTCTAAAAAAATCACCTCCTCATCTGACTTACAGATGGGAAATATTCCCACCTACCCTCCTGAAATGGCCCAAAAAATCCTGTATGTTGGGTGCTGAACAATAAGGAGTTTGGGCACAATCTTGTGCCACTGATTCCCTGGTGTTTTAATCAGGAGCATCAACCAACCAACTTTAAATCAACCAACTGACTTTAAGTCAATGAAATATCCATTTACAGCAGTTAGACCAACATGCACTTGACACTGCACTTGACTAACAAGCGAACAAATTGGAACCAGGTCACCTAAAGCAGCAAATCCCAGCCTAAACAGGCTCTTAGGAAGGTCCCAGTTGCTGCAAGTGCTTCCATCCAGAAACATTTTCAAGTACACAGTATTTTTTAATTTAGAACCATTTCCTTCATGGTACGCAAGGCACAAAGATCCACTAATTCAGTGTCTATTCTGGGCACGAGGGATGAAGGTTTCATTAGCAGCTCCTGTGAAAATCAGTTTATTTAATATTCAATTTGATGGCAGTGGAGTTTCATGTTGATGGTAAAAACCTAAAGCACAGGTTTCATCCAAAACCCTTTGGAATCAATATGATTCTTAACACTAACTTCAGTGAGGCCAGGGTTTCTGCCTAAATCTTTTAGTTTCTTAAAATAAAATGCATAGGTTATTTCTAGATGCCTCTGGTTACCTCTAGGATTCTGTCAGACTAACTTATGGCAGTTTTCCTGCCTCCTGGGATAGTTTCTGAGAATCCTAAAAGCTTACATTTTGCATATAATAATTATATCCAATAAAAAAATAGCATGAAGCAACTTCCAAAATCCAAAGGTCAAAAATTCAGCTAACATATATTAATCTTTATTGTGTAACAATGACATAATAAATAACTTTATGAATTCATGTGACCTGTACAAAAAGCTGAAAAGCTTCTGTACCAAGTTAGGTACCAGCTATTTGGATTTAATATTTGTTAAACATATGATCTAAAATTATATACAGTTGTGGAGTTAAGGCAAAACCAGATGATACCTTTAACACAACAGAAGGTTTGAAAAAGACACATAAATACAAACAAGGGGGATCTCATCTCCATAACAAAGTGATTGTGGCTGAGGAAGGAATCCCTTAGGGTTTTAATAAAGCAGTTTTTATCATTCATGTTAATTAAAATTGAAGAAAAAGTGTGAGACTTCCTGCAGGGCAAAGCTGCTTTGTGACGTTGTGCCTGAATGATCACCTTTAACCCCGGTAAGTTTTGTCTTAATGGTTATAACCTGCTATTCTTTTTAGAAATCAGCACGTGGAAAAGAGGAATATCTTTTATATCCGACTAAAATACATCCACAACCCTTTAGTTTATGTGGGCTACACTTGATGTGAGCAGTGACAGAGCTTAAATACCTGGGTGAACCATCCAACACATAACACTCAGAGGAGAATTAAAGTCAATTATCAATGATAATTACCTCTCTCAAGACAATGGAATAGATCATGGCAGTAAAGTCCCAGTGACAAAAACATGTATGACCTATATATCAATATACAGTTCTTTGGCAGCAACACACTAACTCTTGATTGAAGTCTGAACTCCAACTCTCCTACATTAAAGACCTGGTTGCCAGTCTGTTCATAATTAAAGAAAATCCACTTCTCCCATGAATCCAGTAAGTCCAGAAAATGTGATTGGAATAAATCTTGCAGGCAGCTTTAGACTGTAATGTTAAGCATAGATATTTATTGTCTGCTTTAGTCTCAGTCCAAATATATTGTATTTAAACACACAGAATTCTGTGAAACTTGTGAGTAGTTCAGATGGGGCCAAAATCCACAGGGAGAATCCATATTCACCCATGAAAAACCAATAACAAAACATCAATCCCATGATGATAAAATTATCTTCATGTAACAGAGGCAATGATGAGTCCATACCTGGATGAATGTCACAGGAAAATTGACTTTACAGGGGAAAGACCAGAAAGCCAGAAAACGTAGAATACTGCCATCCACCGAACCAGATTACCTTTCTCCAGCTTCAGGTAAACCTTATCCTCCTTGTCCAGATACAGCAGGACTCCATTAGTGGCAGCTTCACGTGTGACATCCTTGTCCCCAGCAAAAGCAGAAATGACTGGCTTTCCATTCAGCATCAAATTAACCTGCAAGAGAACAACCACTGAAAAGCTCCAATTAACAGCAAAACTCCAAGAACTACTCCTAAATATTAACTATAGAGTAAGAGCCCTGCTAAGGTCCCAGTCTTCACTGGGTTTTGGGTTGTTTTAAACTAATAATTACATTTAATTGGTGTGTACAAGTGCATCAGTGTTCCATGGGCTGGACTTGCAGCTGAGGGAGGTATCACCTCCGTTTGTGTCACTTTACCTATGTCAGGGGTTATTTAGTCACTCAGGAGCAAAAAAAGACGACATTTTCAAGAAACTTGGGCACCCAGAGATGTGATACAGGCACCTAATGAGGTGTCAGAGGCACCACAGTGGGCTGGGAGCTCACACTTCACTGGTAGCAAAAGCTCTGTCCCTCCCATCACTGATGACAGCTTAGTTTTAAAGTCTAGAACCAATCTTTAGCTTTATAAGCCATGGTACTGGCTCCAATTTTCTGTAAAACCCTTCTGAAAGTCAACACAGCCCCTACTCTGAAAGCAGCATCACAGACACTCTGCAAACAAAGATGGGCAGGGCTGAGGGAATGGACAGATCCAGGCATTTCTTATTTCCCCCATGGCAAACTATGAGCTCTGCTTTTTTTTGTTAAATAGCTCTAGTGCAGTCTCACAGGGCTGAATTGTGAAATGCTCATTCATATGGAGTGTGCTGGCCTTGCATATGCTCCCATTAATTTTAATGGGAGTCACCACGGAATAAATCACTGCTCAGCAGAAGCCAGGGCTGCAGAATCTGGCCCTTATTTGGGATTCACCTATCTGGGAAATCCACTTAATCAGATGTCCCTAGGGAACAAATTGCAGTTTAGTGATATTTAATGGCACTAACAGATGTTCCAGGAGCACAGTAATATCACTTGTGTAGGAAGCCTGCAGGTGATTTAGTGGTGTTTAAAGTCTGCATGAGGCTCAAGCCAGTTTGTTCCACTGCAATGGTTTCTGGTTCTCCTTCCTATGTATCAAACATGCAGAAAAAGGGCATCAAGGGTTTGGTTCTCATTGCTTGGGTTTGATTTATCCCACTCCTTCTGTACCATCTCTCTAGGTTGGGGTCCCCTGCAGGGCATCTCACAGCAATTTTAGTCACAGCAGAAGACACATCACAGGTTTGCACCCGATGGTCCCACATTAACTGTGCCAAAACTTCCATTATACTTTAGAAACTCCTGATGTATTAAATATTTCAGGCCATGTCACAGGTTGTAACATTCCCTGCCACCAGCCCCAAACTCCCAGGTCTGAGTCCCTGGTATGTGAAACACCAGCCTGTGCTGGACTTCCAGAAACCAAGCCTTGGCATCTTCCTTGGCAATATGCATTTTAAATCCAATGAAGTGGCTGGCAAACAGTTATTCAAGGCCATTTCAACCTTCAGCATTTAAGAGAATGAAAAGAACAAAGTCTGGGCACATTAAACAGTTCATAAGTTCATTATAGAGATTTTCACGAGGTCAGTATTTCACTTAAGGCTTTTGCCATTGCCCTGAAGGGAGTTGGGATTTCCCACTGTAAACTGAAGGAGAATTTCACCAGGGATGTGACTGTGTCCTGCACCAGTTTTCTGCCATCCTCACCATTTACACTTTTCCCAGAAGCCAGAGCTGCCACAAAGAAATGTCTGACCACTCCTCCTGCAGAAATCTCTCTCATCTCAGCCTTGCTCACTGAAAACCATATCCAGGAGCAAGACAGAGCAGCGAAAAGCATCAGATACCTCTCTGAATCTGGTGGTCTCATGGGTGGAAACAAAGGAAGCCACAGATTTTATTCCAGATCTAGAAAGCCAGGATGTATGTCACAGAAAATGTGGGACCTGGCATGAAGATTAATGAATACACTTTAAGGAATTGGCTGTTGGCTCAGCAAAGGGATGTTCAGGAACTTAGAGGCTTTTCCTCTAAGCTAGTACATATTTATATTTAATTAGGCAGTTCAGCTGCTATTAAGCTACAGAAGAAAGTACAAAATTACTCCTTTTTTTTCTAATATATGACACATCTTTTATACACTATATGGTGGGGAAAAAAAAAGAAAAAGTTTAAACTGCTATAAAGGTTCCTTAGAAGACATCCCTATAGAGATACAGCATTTTGGTGTGGTTACAGAACAAGTAGACCACGCAGACTAACCTTGACCCACAGCAGACTGAGGGCATAACCTGGCATCAGCCAGGTCAAAATGTTACAAAAATAGTCAGATCTGGTGTGAATCCCCAGAATTCCTGTGTTCCAGACAGTTTAACCTGTAGGAAAATATGACTCTTCAATAGTATTTATGCAATTAAGTGAAATTCAGAGCTCTCTTTTGCTCTTGGATCATTTATTCTATTGAATTCTTTATATCACCCCAGTTTTAGGAGACAGAAGTGAAGCTGTGGCAGTTTATCTGAGGTGAGGATCCTGCATTATCTCAGCTATTCAGTTTAAATTAATTCAGCCTGCTGCTAGGAAGTCTACACCACAGGTTGCTGTAAACTAAGCAATTTTTCCTTGAAAGAGTATTAAATACTCCTGTGTTCAGTCAAGACTCCATTCCAAACAAACAATTTAGGTAAAAGATTTTACAATCATACTTGATTGACGTACCTGAATTGTTTGACTCTGGTAGACTTTAATTACGTGAAAATTGAAACTGTAAATTCCTTTCCTTGGTGCTACAAAGACAGACTCCAATGTGAAAAAATTGCCCACATTTACTAGGATCTACAAACAGAAAAACAGAGCATGGGAATTAGTACTGGTATGGAGTGCTAAATAAAACCACAGATTATAACTTTAGAAACCATTCACCCATGGAAAATTTTTAATCTACATCTAAGCTGGTTTATTCATGTTCTCTCAATTGAGTTGGAATAGCTCACACTATGGATATTTAGTTGTATTCATAGTACAACTCTGCTACAAACAAACTATGGTGGAAATTGTTTCCTACTTTGCTACTGTGTCATACCTTCAAGTCCTTTCTTCTATACATGTTCAGAGGAGATTAAGAAAAAGCATTTTTGTTCATTGTTCCCCAAAAATGACATCAAAACACTAATTCTGGGAGTGGCAAATGGTTTTTAAAAGCAGTGGTCAAGCCAACACTGTCTTCCTCCTAGCGTCAAGCTGTGAGGAAGGACACACATGAATGAAATAGTTCATTTCCCAGTTTACAGCCAGAGTTACTGAAATACCTGGCACATCCCAGCAAAAACTGGCTGTGAGCCTTTCCTGCTTCAGTTGTTTTTGTAAGCACTAATAATAATTTGAGTTTGATCAGAGACGAGTAACAGAGGGGAACATATTAAATGAGTGCATCATCCATATGCTGCTCATCTTCTCTAATGACTAGATTGTGCTTTCTTTCCGCTTAGATATGCTTTATTTTTACTTGATATTTTCAGGCTCCTTTATGCCAGGCACAGCCCTAGAAAGCCACTAGGAATGTCCATGGAGTTATGACCCTTTCACACTCCCACCATTAGGCTGTGTGACATATCTGCCTCCAGCTGTCACAATTTATTGCTCATTACAACAGGGTGTAGGAAGAAGAATAACCATCAGTCTCGATTACTTTGGACCTGCCCCAGGACGGGAGCCGGTGTTGAAACGAGTGCTGGCACCTGCCCTTTAATACTAGTGCTGAGCTGAGAGGGGCTGTGCCGTGAACCTGGAAGTGTTCCGGGAAAGTTTAAAGATTTTCCCTTGAAATTCCTTCTTCTTTCCCCGCTCAAAGGGTGAACAAGCTGTCTAAAACCTACACACCTGAGAACCCCCTGTCCCCAAGCCCGCTGGGGCCGCGTCCCCCCGAGCGCTACGGCCGCGGCATCTCCCGGTGCTCGGTCCCCGCGTCACCCCGGGAACTTACTGGGGTCTATCCGACAGGTACTGGGGGCTGCAGGTGCGGAGGGGTCGGTACCGCCCCCTGCATTCTCCCCATCCCCGGGGGGCAACCTGGGCACTGCTGCAGCCCCTCCAGCTCCCCCCTGCCCGGCCCCTTGTCCCTGCAGCAGCCGCCCCTGCACCCCAACTTTGTGCGGGAATTTAGGGAAGCGGCGGCACCTGTTGAGGTTCGCGGGGGAGGCACCGGCCCCGCGGGGATCCCCCGGGGCGGCCGCCGCTCACCTGGTCGAAGTAGATGATGCGCGTCTTGTTGCTCATCTCGGAGGGCTCGTGGTTGGTGCTCCGCACGGCCGAGAAGGCGACCTTGGAGTTGGCGGCGCGCACGGAGATGCCCAGCGGGGACGTGGACGAGCCCTTGGGGTCGGTGGTCGGGTTGGAGTCGCAGACCACCAGGCACTTGCCCTCCAGCACGATGGGCTCCGTGTCGTTCTGCGCCCACGCGGCGGGGCCGCCCAGCGCCAGGGCGAGCAGGAGGGCGGGCAGCAGCCGCCAGCCCATGGTCCGCACCCGCGGCCGCCCGCGCCGCCGCTCCGCGCCCCGCTCCGGCCACCGCGCCCGGCACCGCGCCCGGCACCGCACCGCGCACGCCGCGCTCAAAGTCTTCTCTCCGCCGCCTTCTCCCCTCCGTCTCTTCTCTCCTCTCCCGCTCTTCGCCTCCTCCTCCCCCCGCCACCACTTTGTGCCGTTCTTTCTTTTTTTTTTCTTCCTTCTCTTTTTTTTTTCCCCTCCTTCTCTTCTTTTTTCTCTTCCCAGGTCCTTTCGCGAGCTCTTTTAAAAACGCCGCAAAAAGCTGCCGGACAAAATACACGCTGGCCGGGGCCCCCTTTCCGCATCAGAAAGAGAGTGAGAAGGGGCAGTGGGGAAAACAAAAGCCCTCAGGTGAATTACTGATGAGAGACAGAAAAGAGAGGTCGCGAAGAAATAAAGCCATTTGGCGTTGCCATGATCGCCGCCGCTAGGCTCTCTCTCCCCTTCTAGCTGGAGATTCAGGATGCTCGGAGTGGTGGAGCGGAGAGGTGGTACCTCACCCCAAAGCTGCCAGATCCTGTCTCTGATAGCACTGACAGGGTGCTGCAGACTCCACTTCTCTCTCTCTCTCTTCCCCCGCTCTCTCTGCCACAAATTCCACCCTCCTTCTTCCAGCAGTTATGTCATAACAAACCTGCCCAGCTCTCACCTAGCTGGGCACATACGACGCTTCCTTACTAGAGACCCTCCCCTTGGAATTGCCCCCTATTCACACACACACACTGCAGTCCTCCTAGGCAACTTTTTAAGCAGCTACAAAACTGAAGGGAAAGCACCAGAGCATTGCAACGTCCCCTATTTTCAGAAGGAGGAGTGGGAAAGAACTGCAACCTGAGTGAAAGGCAGCCCCTAAACCTGGAGGAGCCTCCAGGACACAGATCTCTTGTGCAAGGATTTGCAGGTTGAATTTGGGTGTGACACCCCCACCCCGTGCGCTCTGTTGCTGGTTCCCCGTCACAGCCAGGAGGGAATCAGCTTTCCTAAATCCCATCACACACATTGACATCACCATCAGGACTTTGCTATCTGCTCTTTGAGCATTAACATGGCCAGGTACCACCTCATGGTGCTGCCACATGGCAGCTTCTGGTAGTGGTTTGATTAAACCTCTGTCTACTGTTAATTTTTTTTTTTTTTTGATGTGTGCTGGCAGGATTGGAGCAGGTACCTTGCTTAGTACTCCCATATATTTCAACATTATTAAAACCATGACTGGTTTGGTGCTCCTTGATGTCTTCCAGAGAGGATCTTTCCTACATCAGCTGGTCCCATTTGAAATAGTCTCATGGTGAAACCTCAACCCACTTCAGGGACTGGCAGAAGTGACCAAGTCCTCCCAGAAGCAGAACTGGCCAAACAGGTTCCATCCAAATCACCAGCAAAGGGCCAATAGTTTATAAGAAAACAAGCAAATGATTTTTAGAAATCCAGCATCTTGCTGCCTCCCATTCTGTCGAGGAAGAGGCTTGGGATTCAGACCCAGCACCTCAGCTCTGTGCACTAACTAATGCTGACTATAAATCTGGGCACTAGCAGACAAAACAAATTGAAGAAGCAACAGGAGGGTAACAGGAGCAATAAAAAGCACCAAAATCCACTTCCTACTGAACACCAAGTCTTCCTGCGGGCAAATGGGCTGGAACTTTTTCAGCTGATGTGGAGAACTGAGGGTGAAGCATTAAGTTTACAGAACTCAGCAAAGTCTTTGAGAAGCCATAAAGCAGGCAAAATTCCTCTTAGAAAGCATCAAATGCATTACTCTCTAAAATTCAGAAGGTTAGACTCAAAGTTTTGAGGAATCCCATTGATCAGGCAAGAAGCAAAAAAATATACTACTGTTTTCTAGGAATGCATCAATACTCTCTTAGTGACACCAATAAAGATGAATAGAAGACTCCTATTGAGAAGTACCACTCACTGCAAGGAAAGGAAATAAGAAATAAAGCAAATACTTGGAGCACAACTTTTGTAGAAATTGGATCTGCAGATTAAAAGATGGAAAACCCCTTTGAAGGACTCCTATAAAATAAAGCTGTGTGAAAGCAGGAAAAGATCTTGTGCCACAGTATTTGTGAATAAATACAAATGTATAAATACTTTCACACTATCTTGTGCTTAAAAACTCTTCTGCACCTCAAGCTGCTGAGTGGCCTTTTAACTCTGCACAAGTAGCAGCAAATCTGTTTATAACATGCACATAGATTTCAATTGGAATTGGAAACTTCTGATAATTTTGAGAGATCAATCATTTGCCAGAGATTAAAAACTTTACAGTCATTTCAGACAACTTGGTTCTAATTTCCTTTTGTTGTGGACAATGACATCAAGTGTCTCTATAGATATTCTGCTGGAATGGCTGTGAACTATCTCCATGTGTTGCTCCCAGAGAGGCTGGATCTACAAATAATATCCATAATCCAGCCTCACATCCAGGCCTAACAAACTGAAAATCTATCGCCAAAATACCTGAGCCATATCATGAAACATCTCCTCCTTTTTTTCCCACCCACCCAGCAGGAAGAGAGCTCCAAGGTTATTAACAGTGTTTGTTTGGGTGGTTGAGCTGGGATTTAACTGCTGAGCAAAATGAGGTAAATTTGCTGGGGATGCTGTGGGCAAGGTGAGCTGAAAACAGGAGTTAGCATTACATTCATAATCAACAAGGTTAATTATTGTTCTTATTTTATCTGACAAAGAATTTCTTAGTATTGATCCAGCTCCCTCTAACAGGGATTATTTTTTCCTTCTTCCTTAGAAAGAAAAACGACTAAAATAATTAGCAACAATACTCAACAGTGGAAATTCAGTTGGATTAAGCTCATGGCTTCTTCCCCTTTCTGGACACATATTGTAGAAGCCTAAAACTGTCTCCAGTTGGAAGAATTTTGCTTTTTCACAGAGAACTTTCTGCACTGAGGCAGCTTCTGACAAAAGGAAGAGCCACAGGGAAAATAATGAAAAAACACGACGCTTGCATTTACATTTTCTTTTACCACTTGCTTGTAAACCTGCATCAACTACAATTTCTGTATCAATATTGCATGATACCTTTCAAATCTCTTTTGAAAAAAAAAAAAAACCAAAAAACAAAAAACAAAAATTGCTTTGTGTAATTAGTCATTTGCCTTACCAAAGGGAGAAATAATCTGCCTCACACTTCCTCTGCTGCTTTTGAGCTCATTGCTGGTGTCTAGAGGCCTCATGAATTCTACAACCCCTCGGTAACAGGAGCCCTCCTTCCTCTGCTTCTCTTTCTTCTTTATCCTAATTATATTTCCCTTCTGTCAGGCTGAGCTCTGTGTTTGCTGAGTGGGGAGCAGGCTTTTGCAGGGAGCAGGGTGAGCACCCCCAGCTCCTCCCAGGATTTAACCCCCAGCTCCGCGTTGTGCTGAGCTCACCCTAATGAGGGATGAGGGGGCACAGGGGGGATTCAAAGCCAGAATACTGATGGCAGTTCAAGTCTGTGTTTATCAGCTGGTCAGAGTTTTTCCCATCTTTTGACATCCTTTCAGGGTGGGTATTGCAATTCCTGAGCTGGCTGTCGTCTCCATCTGGCTGTTGGCTCCCATACAGACCAGCTCCTCTTCCAGACAGCTGGGCCGGTGGTTCTCCCCTGGTTAAACACTTTGTTGGCCAAATCCAAGACAAATTCACCTGCCTAATGAGCTTAGAGGCTCTTAAGAATATTCCCTAAACATTTTAGAAAGTAAATTTCACTTCATTTATATAAGCATAAAATGTAAAGAGATCCTACAGCAATATAATAAAATCTTCATGTGAGTGTGGAATTTCTGCAGTGAACAGAAGTTTTTGGCCTTTAATTCAGACAGACACAGAATCAAGCCTAGATTTTTTCCTTGCTTTATTTTCATCCTGAAGTCCACCTTTCCTGAAGTTTTAAGTAAGCTTTTTCTGTATGTTTGCCTATTTTAATGTATCTCTCCTCAATCCAAACCATCTTCAAGTATTTTTTAAACATTCTGCAGCAGCAGAACAGAGAAAACAATGAAAAACAATTGTCTACTTATACTTCTTGGGCTGCTTTAGTTTCTCTGACACTCTGCTATGATAAATTTGTGTTTTGATGGCCTTCTCAGGAAATGGAATTTTAAAATTCCCTGTGAATTTTAGAGGTGATTAAGAAAACGAGTCAGCAGGATGCCTGCATGTTTAAAGGTAAAACTGTTCAGAAATGCTGACAGCATTGGCATTTGAGGTCTTTATTCAGCATTTCTTATGCAGCCAGACTTTTTATTTGACCAACACTGCAAAGCTGAGCACACTTAAGGCCCAAGTGCAAGTCAGGGTCTGAAACACTCCTGGGCAGATGCTGCGAGTCCTCCCAGCAGCGCGTCCTGCAGTTACTCCTTGAGGGATGTCTGGAAATATTCCACAGTTATATTGTTACACTGACTCAAAGCAACTCAGTCTGGGTTTACATCGCTGTGAAAATGAGAGCAAAATGTGACCCTGTAGATTCTTTTTGCTCCTTCATGGATCCTCAATATGATTCAGTTGTTTGCAACATCTACAGGCCAGTAAATTTTATCTTTAATTTTCACTAAGTTATCCACAAATAGCTTAGTATGTCTTGTGTTTATCTTTATTCAAAATATTTCCAGGAAATATTTCTACTTTCTTAGTTGGTGTCGTAACTTTCAGCTATAATTTAGCAACATATTTAGAGATAAACAAAAAGTATGAGCAACCCAACCTTTGCAGCAGATGGGAATTGATGAATCTGGGTAAATATTGTGATGATTTTTAATCAAAGCAAAGCAATGCAAGACTTTCTTCCAAGGTTTACTTGCCTCCAGCAAGCCCAAGTAGTACTTCTCCTGCATCTCTTTAAAATGGAATCCTGACAGAAACCCATTTTTCTCCTTGGTTGGGTATTTAATACATAGTTTAAGTGATTTCACATTTCAGCTTTCTGTTTGTGTGTCCCTAGAAATGTTTAAAACTGCTCT